ATTACCTGAATGAATTCCTGACTCCCTAGTTTCATCAAAGAGAGGAAACTACGGGGTCACTCGTCTTCACTCGTTCCAGCCTGAAATGCAGTCGCTTGATTGATCGACTTGGTATTGTTCAGCAGCCACCAGTTCAAGTCCACCCTGTTGTCAAATCAAATGATGTTCCTAGCCATTTACTACAAGTAGCACAATCACCTCAGGACAAACAGCACCGACGTCAAGTGCGAGATGGGTGGAGATAATACTGACGTCGGAAATCAAAGGAACTAAAACACTCCTGAGGCATTTACAAAAACAGAGCTTGAAAAGCTGTTATGTAACATCAAATCAGGTAAAGAAGCAAGTTATGACAGTATCGTACTGAATTTCTGAAGCAAAAGTAAAGGCAAAAGTATGGTTCACCGCTTTACACAACCGGGTTGTTAGACAAAAGTCCATGCCGACTTTGTGGCACCAGGCAAAGATTTTCATCTTGCAGCGACAAACTATTGGCCAAACTCGATGCTTTCAGTCTGATTTAAGGTACTGGATGACCTGATTATCCAGAGAAACGGTCCGGACTTGGAGAACATCATAACTGTTGAGCAGGCTGGATTCAGGCATGGCTTTAAGACTTGTGAGCAAGTCATAACTAATATTTTAAAACGGTTTAAAGAGGAACCTTACGATTGGAGTTGTTATCCATGATCGAGCAGCGGCATTTCAAATGGTCTGTCATGTAGGAGTATTGATGAAAATTTCCTGATACGGCCGCTACCCATAGTTGAGACTAGCAAATAGTTCCTTCGCGATAGGCATTTCAGAGTGCACATCCGAGAGACCTTCAGCTCCTCTACACGTCAGACTAATGTTCTCCCCCAGTGGTCTTTTCTTTCACCAAGTTAGTTCATTGTTTATATTAATTACTTGCCTGAAATAGTCGCTCAAGTTCATGTACGCAGACGACATTGTTCTCTGGACCCAAAGTTGCTGGTTGACTGAGCTTGAGCAAGTACTCAGCAAGGACATGAAGAAAATTACGGACTTCTTCAAAATCTCTTGCCTACAGCCAAGCACAATTAAGACAATCTTCATCGTTTACCTCCTTACCAATGCAAGTCTGAACCGTGAGATTCACTTCATTCTCAATGTGCAGCACATAAAATAAGACCCGATACCAATACACTCGATACCGATACCAATACACTCGAAATGTCCTACTGCGCAAACGGGCTAGCTCAAAACATCAGCATTGGCCCTCTGTTATTCGACGACCGAGTATTGCGCTCCTGTCTGGGCTTGAACGATCCATATTAAGATAATTGGCATCCAGCTCAATTCAACAATTTGCATACGCTTTAAAACATTACGTCCTACTCCTTTACCTTGGTTGCCGGTACTGAGTAACATTCCTCCTCCACATCTCTGTCACCAGAAAGTAACTCAAAAACTGCTAAATGATGTTTATGCCAGTGAAAAACTTCCTATGTACATGCACATCGCTTCACATCCAGCAGTCCGCTTGGCTTTGAAACATCCAATTTGGTTTAGTCCGTTGTCGGATGGTACGACAGTTATTTCGGCATGAAGTGATGAACGGACTTCGAGAAATTTGTAAACCACTCCATCGTAGCTGATTAGTCTGTCTGACCTCTGGTTTTTACCTTCTACGATATATATTGACCGCGCTGAATTGTTTCCGGACTTGACAGAGTCATTTTTCAGACAGCCTAGTCCGATGTATCCAGGCCACTGACTCTTCCTATATCTATGGAGCTCTACAGAGTACGTCATACATTATGAACAACCGTCAACTGACAAAGTTCCCAGGTTGACTGCAGGCTCTGTACCTTGCTGATGATGATGCTGTTAAATGGCTGAGCATGCATGAACTTCATAAATAATAATAATGAACAAGTAGCAAAAAAACCTCAGCCAAGCATTTGTGAAAGAAGAATAGAAAGATGTTCCCGTAAATACGGAACTGCTAGCGAGATCTATTTTAGCACGATAATAAATCACATTTTGCGATTCACAATGCACTAGTGCATTACAAAAACCAGTTTCAACAGACATCCGACAATTAATTTATAACAGCATGATGGCCAAACGAATAAGTTACAATGCCATCTGGAACCAAGAATTAGTTAATATTTTACCCTTTGACCTTTGACCTTTATGAATCTCACCTGTTATATCTCTTTAATAACTGTAAAATTTATTGTTGACATCTCAGGAATAAATATAGCTAGTTTCATGTTTCATGTCTATCAGTATAACACTGGTTGCTATGTTGACAAAATGCAATGCGCATTTTTAAAATAGTTCGCTTTTTATTATAAGGGGGGCTGTACCTGTTTGAGACTCTTACTCTAATAAATGCTGCTTTGAGGGGGGGAATACAGGACAATTATTACAACGGACTGTTTTGATGCTTGCGGCTTAAATATTTCAGCCATACAATCAAAATTAAATCGTATAATAATAATACCTATATACTCTTTATGGTGACGCTCATCAGTTATTATGTACGTTTGAGAGAGTGATGTATGTAAGGTGAAATTGTTTGATACATCGGTAAACAACCATTCAATGTTCCTGATATCGTATCAAATTTGTCTTGTGTTGGAATTCGCGTAGGTTTCGAACAAAATTCTAAGTACATTTCGTGTGATAAATACTGTTACACAATACCTCATTGAACACCTTTGGTCTTTATAATGTTTTGGATCTAGCACAATCGTGTGCATACACTTTATGTTGCAGTCCCACAAACCAATTGATTGGTTTCCCGAGCATTCGTCTTTCAACTTAAGACTTTTTTATTGGTGTTACTAAACAACAGATGTTCCCTCGGATAATTGCTGGTATGAACTACATTGACCGAACAAAGTTGAGACATATCCGCGTACACATCGTTATGTTGGGCGTCACCAGTGAGTCATAGTCGGCATATAACATCTTATTTGATCCTGGTAAAATGATCTTGTCATAGGAAAACTAATACAACAGATGCCTCGATAATCCCAATACTGACGAACCAACATTGACTGGTTCTGTCATTTTGCGTTTCGATTATTTTATCGTGAACTGCAATTAGTCCAACATCAAATATTTTTTCTGGATTCCAAGGCTAGATGAACAGTAAGTCTTCGAACTTTATCTTGTTCATTATTACAAACAAGATCGACTCGATACGTTTACGCATATTCTCCGTATTCTTTCCGAACTTAGCATTGTTCATGAACTTGAAAAAGTTCTTCTCAAACTAATTCGTGACCTTAATTCTCATCTGGATGTATAATGAATGCCATCCAAGCATACAGTATACTTGCGATATTCATGACTCGATGGACATTGGCTACAAGCATACCCAATCTCAGATACAACTGATGGTGTCGAACGTGCTGTACATAATTGTTTTAGGCCTAAGATGTGATAATAGTTTCGTGCATCTGTTGTAGTTACGTCCGGATTCATCAACAATTGCGCACTGATATGAGAACAAACACTCACCATGTACCGATAACTCTTCTGCTGCTAACTGAAAATTGTTTTGCACATAATTTAAATATTCAGGTAATCTAGAAAAGCTTCAAAGAAGAATATGTAGTCATTGTTGAATTTGTATTCGTTTATGTGCTTTTGCAAGTTAGTGTTTTTAGGATGAATCCACTGAAATTCACAGACAGATAACGGTTGCGTCATTTCCGCTTGATAAAGGCAATTAGTACCTAAATACTTGGTGTAACTCTTCGGGGCGGGGTGTTCTTACCCGTCTACGTTTAAGTTGTTTACGCTAACATATATGTCGATTGCTATTTAAATTCCGTCATGAAATGAGCGAGCGTCAAAATTTATGCTGGTTTACATCGGTGAGGAACTCCAACTCGATTTTGAATTTGGTGAACAACGCATCCCAAGACATTCCCCGTGATGAAAAGTAATGCATGCTCGGGATCTAACTTGGTCATGTGCATAGCATTATCACGAACTTTCTCATAAAACATCGGCAAGAAAAATTGGTGCGCAGATACATATCGTATAAAAAAATGTTTATCCGAAGTGAAAACATTAAGTACGATAATTTATTAAGTGTTTCAAATTTTTTTGTGTGGCCTTAGTGACCTGCACAAAAACTTCTATATCACCAAAATTAAGTACACCCTGGTTTTACCGATATTTTAAAGGCATATCTTGGTGATCACTAGCGGGATACAACACTGAACGAACTGTTCATTCAAAACATATATTTCCTTTTTATAGATTTATCACTGACTTAGGCAGAATCCATTCTGGAATTGGTATGTAACTGGATCCATGAAACGGTTGATATGGAGAGCATATCGACATGGGCATATTTTTGAGAGTCCACTCCAATTCTGCATTAGAGTAGTTCTCCAACGTCTCTATAAGCCTTTCAATGTCTTTGTCAGTTTTGTCATTAATGACGCTAGTATTGCTATGGGCTAGAATTGTAGATATCAATTTACGGTGTCGTAATTTTAAATTCATCCTTGTCACAACTAAGCTGCAAAACCACCTAACGGCCTTACTTTTGTAACACCTATGTGTTTCCAGGAATCAAATATGTTAACAGTTGTAGAGCGTCTTTACCTTTTAGTAAGTGCTTAGGATGATTGCCACGTAATTTTCTAATTCACTGTATAAAATTTAAATTCAGCTACTTGTGATTGATGTGGTTTTGCACAAACATAGCAGTTTCAGCAGCAATAGCGCAAAAACGTTTTCCTTCATCCTGATAACGTTTTTGTTCGTCCAAGTGGCGGTTTCGTTCATCCTCAATAAGACAACAATTTTGGCATTTATTATATTATGCTCACGTGGAAATTGTTTTAATTGTTGTGCCGTTGTTTTTGCATTGGCAACCAGTATTGGAGCACGTTAATCCAATGCAATTTTAGTTCTCAAAAAGTTCAATGATGTCAGCGTTTTGCATACAGCTTGGTTCTCGCAAACATGATATTGTTCTAGCAAACGTGATATTGTGTTTACATTATTGATACCGGTGGCCTAGTGGATATGGCATCCGCTTCGGATGCGGCAGGTCGTGGATTCAATCCCCGATCGAGTAATACCAATGATTAACAAAAATGATACTAACAGCTGCCTCGCTTGATGCTCAGCATTAAGAGGTTAGTGCTAGAACTGGTCATCCTGGTGTCAGGATAATGTTACTGGGTGGGACAACATGCCACATGTCTGCGTCATCATGCCCCAGTGCTAGACATCACTATAACTGCCATACTGCAGACATCGTATCGATATGACTAAAACATTTTTAAAGCTGCGTTAAAAATCATAATCACATCGTATCACATTGATAGTGGCATGTTCTACCTAAGAATATAAGGTGTGTACCTTTGCATTTGTTGCGTCTCAATAAATACGTTTAGTCCTATTGGAAAATGTACAGCACTGAATCTCTCATTGTTTACGACTATATTAAGAATAGATACCGTGCACTGCTGTTCTATATCCGCCACATCATTAAATGGTACACTGATATTCAAACTAGGTAAAACGAAAACTGTATGGTAAATAGAAATTTTAAATCTTTTGTTCAAAAGTAAAACGTTGTCTGTTTTGCATAGAGAGAATATGCTGCAGTTTTAGGGTCACAGAGGCTCCCTGACCCTCTTCCCACGGAAATTAAACCCTTTGTCATTTGTGCAACTTCCAGGGTTGCCTTGATAGTAGCGGACTGACCGTCATCCAGTTTGTTGTTCTCTTTCTGAAGACCCTTTGTATCGTACCAAATGATATTGGTGTTAATAATGCTAGGGCAGTGACGGTCAAAGAATACAACGGTTGGAATCAAATACTCACCAAAGATGAAATGGCCAAAATTAAACAAGACTACTGTGGATTCTGCCAAAGAAAGTTCGCATGCGTGGTCCCAGGATTATGTCAAGAATTAGGAAGAGGTGATAACTAACAAGCCAAGGACGGGCTTTTGAAGGACATGTAAAAAGAATGCGTCTTAAGCCCGATAATGCCAGATGTCAGATTATTCACAAGTCTCTGCCCACCTGTATCATTTGATAAAGTTTAGTAGAACCATAGTAACTTAACAGTGGTCTCGCAAACAGCAGTTTGGGCTCAGACCCTATAGCTTCTCTTGGAACACCGCAGTCAGAAGTCTCCAGACGTTAAGAATTAACTCAGGGATTCCTAGCAACAGGACTGCGTAATCACCATCCGAGGCATTTAAAACTAACAGAACTTAGCGATATTATTAGTAATGAAGCCGAAAAACACGCTACTGGTCTTTGGTGTCTATGGCAAATTACGATGACAATCAACAGTCAGGGAATCTCGGTAGAAACTCGACAAAGGTATGTATTTTTGAAGACTTTATGCAGCGGAGTAATCTCACTTATATATAAAAACTGAGGAAGCAGAAGGAATACCCGTAAAGAGATAGTCGGTTACAAATAACAATACCAGGCCTAAAGTTACCGTTATATCCTGAAAGTAGATGACATTCTCAGACTGAAAGAGAAATAGAAAATCCTCAAATTACGTCTGGATCCTTCTAACAAATCATATAGCACTCGTTCTCCATGCTTTACAACTATTCGTTCTAACTATTCGTTCTAACCTGCACATTTCCAGAAACCACATAGTGTAGGATACACGATGAAGCCAACGTCTTGTGGCCAACATATTTTAGAGAAGAAAGAGAATATCTGCGTAGTGTAATCACCAGTCTTGTGACAGGCGTTATGGCTGTTAGATAGATCTGACTGCTTTGCTAGAAATATAACGGTATCCATAGCATAGTCACCAAAGCAGAACAGCAAAAACAGGACAGTGTGGATGTTAAAGTATCGTTTTGAGGCAGCATGTAAAAATCATTCGCAGCCTTGTGTTGCTGATAAAATCAATCAGCCTTAGTTTCTGGGCATCAGCGCTCATTTTCCTTCCTGCTTGCACCTTTTCCACAGACTTTTTCTACCATCAACGTGGAGAACGTCATGATTATCCTCTAAACAGCAACTTCCCCAAAGGCTTATGGAGTTGTTGATGGTATTATCTAGCATGTCGAATTCATCTTCAGGAACGCATTTATTATTTCAAATGTAGAAACATCGATAGATAACTCATAGTTGAACATACTCTATTTTGGACACATTTATATGTGACTATGTTTATCATAATAATCATTTCTCTTACAATTAATATAAACACTAAAGAACTCAGAACATTTACCTCGCAGCGAGCCAAATTTAAAAATGTCATTTGATACAAAGTTGTCCTTTATTTTTCATAAAGTCATTCTTTCTGAATTATCATGACAACTAATTTTTACCCATTATCGATGTATATATTTTTCCTCAGATTTAAAACAAATTATGCGCACAAATATTTCCAGTGAAATTATAGAGTCGAGTATTTACAGAGAGATACCAATTTTATTGGACTGCTGACTGGAATAACAGCAATTTGTAACTGTTGGCTCAGGCTGCGCTATGCAATGGTCTTTATACTGCTTTTAATACCCCTAGTATAAGTTTGGGAGCGTGTGGTGTAGGCTTATTCGATACCATTTTTCCTGTCAATGGCGTCGTATGGCTGGGGTGGAAGCCACAGCATGTAAACTGTTAAAGATTGCAGAAAAGTATATTGTCCAAAGCCTACAGATAAATGCTAAAACACATGACAGTGCTTGCAGAAGCCAAAATAATGTCATCTCATGCCACATTTCTAGGGCCTTTAAAGAACCACACATATCCGCCGAATAGTTCGGAATAGTCATGGATGAAGTTGCAAAATACCATCCGATCAAACATTAAGTTCGCTCAGAGCTAGAAAAAGCATCTATCACAATTGAAAAGACCCCAAAACCGCTCCTATCCAGCGTGGGTATATTTTCGTGTATTTCTTCAGAAACTTGTTTGAAAATGCACAGTAGAACATCATTATTTGCATGAAGAATCTATCCCGCCTCCATACGATGACACTAAAGTCATGTGAGCTCCTCTTTATGTACGTTGGAATGAATTTACTGTGCCTGTGTAAGACCTTGGTTCAGAAAAGTTGGTGTCTACATTACTACTTGTGTTCTGGCCTTAAGCTCTGAATCACCATCTTTACCAAGGTTCAATTGATAGCTACCCAGAATTTCAGTGTATAAATTGGCGATGCTTACCCTTACTAAGACTTTTTGCGTGAACGTTTTATAGGATCGTGAAAGTTCCTTCATGTATACTCTCTCAAAATATTGGCATAATAAAATGTTTTGCATGAGGGAAGGCAGGTAGTTTTTTATTTTTTATACGTTTATATTTACTTGTCAGTACAATGCAAAATCGGCCTTCTGTTCACGGCCAAATATTATCGAGTATTTTTCATAATGTGTTTCAGAATACCATCATTATTTATCACATAAAAGAGTCGGACCAGTGCATAGAACGGTTACTGAACAGTAATTTTGATATAAGGATGATTCATAAAGATTTGATTGAGTGCATCCAGTAAATGCTCAGGACTGGGTATAATAAAACTAGGTACAATATAGCGACAGTGAACGAAAGAGTCGAACGCATTCATACAATACGAAGATATGGATTTGTATTTTACACATCATATGGAAAGGTAATTTTCTGCGAGCCTGCTTTTGTTGACCAAAATTGTTGTTTTATTAATGTTCACCCTCCTCCCCATTTAAATCGCTTTGTATAATTCTTTATACACTATAGCTAGTTTTGAACTGGAAAGGAATGTGCGAGGTGGTCGGGTTCAACTCGGCACTCCAATCATTATGGTGGATCTATTTTTGGAAATATAATTTATTTCTGGTTTCTGGTCACTATGGGGGAATTCATTTAGTTTTTCCCTTTCAAAATTTATGGTTTAGTTTTGTCTCAACGAATTAATGTTTTTGCACCTATTGAACGCATAGTATGAGATGCAGATATAAATCACAGAATACGTTCATGCTCTATTTTCCTACAAGTTCTGAAAACTCATCGTAGTAATTAAACCCAATTTATTCTAATTACTATTAATAAGAGTTGTGGGTGTTTCAGATTCATACGGAACGATAGAATGTCCGCAAAGCAGCAACGATTTCTCATACATTCTTCCGCCTATACAAATATATCAATATTTATTATAAAATAATCTTAAATTGCGTTTCAGTTGTCCAGCAGAAATATCACACTTATTTTCTATACAGCTTTATAATAACTCTGCTATTTAAAAATACTTAATAAAAACAGCATAATATATTTTGTGGTGATATTTTCAATAAGTTTAATTTCGCATTATTTTCCCACAAGAGGACTCATTATCTAGCATGTGTCATCAAGTTTATCGCAGTATTTAATTGCAATACTTTTTTAATATCTGCCTAATAATGACAGCAGGGTAGATCTAGAACGAATAAAAAATAGTGTTATTTAAAGTAATATTCCTTCTGACCACTCAAAGTATTTAGCAGATCTTATATAATCCGGTCAGATCATTAAATCAATTAAATTTTTTCCGCATCTCAACATAAACCTAGTTCCGCTTCTGACTAGGTGTTCTTACGTGCAATGAATATAATGATACGCTCTACTGTTCAATAAAGTTCACATCATTTTGTGAAATGTTAGTTATTCAATCCAATGATGCTAGAAATCTAGTGATGGAACATAGTGCTAGAATTAATTTTACATAAGCAAAAAACTTCCTAATGTTTGCGACACAAAAAAAATTCATATCAGTGACACATTCAGTTTAAGTATCAGTAGAAATAGCATATCCCTGGACATTGAGTGAAGTTTAATTTTAATCTGCGTCTCCCATTGGTAATAGAACACTGATTTATTTGGCTTTCCCAAGAAATTTTAGACGTCTGAAATTTGCATTAATTTAACCACGCGAGATTATTTCCTGTTGGCTTCAGGAAGAAAGAGATTCATTTAAGAAAAACATTTTTTTTTTCACTTTGATGTGGTCGTTAATATCAATTAATGTTTGGCTTAGATTTTTCGAAATACGTTGGAAGAGTAGTGATTTTGTTTTTGTTTTCCTTTAGAAAAAGCACTTTTATTTTACTGGAAGATAAACAAAAAGCACTTAA